AGTCAAGTTAAATCTGCTGTCTGTACGCAACTGCTCATTCCTTAAAATCTTTTGTCACTGCCAAAGCATAGGGATTATGCTACAGACAGTTTCAGCTGTATTAGATCATATGACGTTCCAGCACGGGCACAGCGACGTGATCTCTTAGCCTTTTGTGAGAACAGGAGTTTTAGGACAAGTTGCCGGATCTCGCATATCTCTTCGAGCGTAGCTTCGTCAGTTTATAGAAACCACTATGTCCATAAACATGTCATCTTTAGCATTTTGCATAGAATGCGAATACATGACTTTCTACAGAGTATTGTCAGTCGCAACCGAGATTGATCAATCTCGTATGAGTCACTTTCTTCTCAGCTTTGAATCTATATGAATCAGTTCGCTTCGCTCTTGTAATGCTTAACGTTTCGATATCATACATCTAAGCCAGCTGTATGAAAAGCAGCTAAAAGTTTGAACCACTGACAGGATAAAGATTTGGCTAAATTAACCAGCAGATCGTCAGTAGAATCCGGATACGTTGCTATTTTTGACGTCTCTTGGTTAGCTGGTTTAGCTTACCTTTTTTGTGATATTTTTGTTAAATAGCTTAGCTGAACACTAACGCTGTGGGTTGCATTATTTTTTGTTATTTGAGTTAACGTGGAAAACGCTTGCGTAATACAGTTGTTTCTAGCGTTTGTTTTTGTAGGAAAGAGTCGAGCTGAAGGCACTATGCGAGAAGCAGAAGTGCGAGCTGACTGATCGAGATACCCGACTGACGGAATTGCAAGAGTGCAAGGAACAACTGGAGAGAGAAAACGCCGAGTTGATCGACGCCTACAACGAATTAAACGACTCGTTCGAAGAGCACAAGATGGAAAGCAGTGATGTAACGACGTCAAACAGGGAACTGGAAGGTCGTCTGGAAGCGCTTAAGAATGATTTGTTCGAGTACGAGGAAAAATATGAGCGCTGCAAGGCAGAGAACCAATTGGCGATGCAGCAACTGGAGAATTTGTCGAACGAATTCCGCCGTCTGAAGGCGGAATGGCTGAAAAGCAGCATGAACTCAGATCTGCGAAACTGGCAGAGTGAAGTGATCAAGCTGAGTGGCGAATTAGAGGAATCACTGCAAAAGCGTCATGAACTGGTGTCGAGCATATCTGAGTACGAAGACATCGCTTGCACGTTCCAAAAGCACATCGAACGACTGAAGACGGAAAACGAGCGACTGCGCCGTGTATCTGCTGAGCAACAACAAGAACTGCAGCAGTTCGAAGACGTCAGGGATTGTCTGGACGATCTGCGGTCAGAGATGGACGGTCTGGTGTCCGTACTGCGCCGGTACGATGAAAGTTATGCTAGTCGATACGAGAACCTTCTGAAGAGCATCGTTTCGCTGAAATGCACCAGATCTTTCATTGAATGCCCTGATGATGGCGACGATGAACCAGCGACGCTGGAGCACAAGCGAGCGGTCGAAGATCTGAACCACCAGAATCAGTCGTTGGCGAAGAAGCTGAAGGAGTGCCAAGACGTTTGCTCTTATCAGGGCACTGTGATCGTAGTTTTGCGTCAGAAGGTGGAGAAGCAGTTCTGGGACAACTACCACATTCTCCGTTTGTTGGACCTCTACAGAAGCGTTATGGGTCCGGAAGCGGCATCGAAGGTCGAGGCACTTCAGGTGCAGCCGAATTTCGCTCTTAAAGCTATCGCCTATGAGCACACGGATAACGAAGGCGACGCTAGACCTAAGACGGTTTCTGAAATTAAGTCAGAGTCAGCACAGTCATACGTTCAGGCGTTTCGTCGATGCCGGACCACATCAGACAGTGTGCTGTTGCACTGTCGTTTTCCGAACTATCGGACGGCGGTGTCACACGACGTAAGTGAAAGTGTAGAAATTACGGAACTAGACGATGCGTCTGTCAGCGAAACGGGTCGACGAAAACATTGTGGTGCTCGCAAACGGTTTCATTTGTCGACAAAGCATCGACAGTCTGTGATACGAGCCTCCTTAAGGAGGACTGTCGAAAGGTTGAGTCGCAAGTTAGAAGGTGACAAGAAAAGGATCGCCCACCTGAACACAATGAACGCGTCTTTAACTGAGCTGGGTGAAAATCTGAAAGAGCAGCTTGCGGAATACGAAAAACAGTATGCTGCGCAGGCGAAGAAAGTGGAGTCGCTGCAGGCAGAGCGTCTTGAACTGGACAACATTCTAGCATCCAAGGAAGCTGCCTTGAAATTGGAGGAGCAAAAAGGAATCGCGTTGCTGAGTCAGCTGAATGATTTGCAATCGCCACAGAAGGAGTCT